TCGTGCTGAGGATCGAACCCAGGCCACACGCATGGCAGGCAAGCGTGCTGCCACTTGAGCCACATCCCCAGCCTCATTTTATACATACATATACACACAAATGTGATATAAGTATCACATTTTCCTTATCCATTCATGTGTTCACGGGTACCTAGGTTGGTTTCTTAGCTGACTAATGTGAGATGCACTGATGGAAACATTGTTGTAGCTGCATCACTATAGTATGCTAATTTTAATCTTTTGGATATAAGCCAAAGAGTGAGACAGCTGAGTGATATGGTGGTTACCCCTTCCTAGTTTTTAGAGGCACCTCTATACTGCTTTCCAAGGTGGTTGTACTAATTTTCAGTCCCACCAATAACGTGTGTGAGCACTTGTTTTCCATAACTGGATTAAGAAAGCTAATGTAACAGGTCAATTTTCATAAGAGAGATCATGCAATATGGATCCCCAGTAGGTTTTAAATCATATTTTTTAAGTGTGCAAATCTCATGGTGTAAAGGTAAAATTTCCAAGCTGATTCTAAACCGCAGAGCCTGAGTTAAAGTGTAAAAGACCAGGCATCCTAAAGTTTCCAAAGTGCAGGGATTGGGTTAAAAAGTAAAAGACTAGGTATTGTTAGAGTCCCTCTGTCTGCTACCCCTAAAACCTGTAATCCCTGCAGCTGTTAGGACAATACTGGAACTGCCCAGTAAATATTTCCACTGACTTTCTGGTTGTTTAATAGCTAAGGGTTCCGAGTTGCTTGGCACGTAGGCATTGCAGGACCTAAACCAATCAGTTTGAATGTGTACCCCACCTAGGAGCACCAATCACCCCTGCCCAGGTTGTTCCCGCCAATGTATGCACTAATCCTGACTCAGGGTTGTTGTTCAATTTTCCCGCGCCTCATGATGATTTGTTCTGATGTATGCAAAGCCCCCCACCCTCTCCAAAAAGTGTACTTAAGCTCCGCTTGAACTCTGCTCTGGGCTCTGGGCTGCTCTCCATTCTTGAGTGAGCACAGAGTCCCAGCGCGCTGGAATGGATCCCCAACAAATTTCCCCTTTTGCCAATTGCATGGAGTCAGTCTCTTGGGTGGTCTCTCCCTCCGACGTTTCGCCAGACCTTTACAATGGTATGCCAATTTTATTCTAGTTTTAAAAAGTCAGGCACAGTTGTGTGTTTGGATAAAAGTATATCAATTAAGAATAGAGGTATATTTGGGCTGGGGATGTGGCTCAAGCGGTAGCTCGCTCACCTGGCATGCATGCAGCCCGGGTTCAATCCTCAGCACCACATACAAACAAAGATGTTGTGTCCGCCGATAACTAAAAAATAAATATTAAAAATTCTCTCTCTCTCTCTCTCTCTCTCTCTCTCTCTCTCTCTCTCTCTCTCTCTTTAAAAAAAATAGAGGTATACAAAAACCAAATAACCCTATCAATAAAGGGGAAAGGAACTGAATAGGCACTTCACAGAAGAAGAAATATGAATGGTCAACAAATATATGGAAAAAAAAGTTCAACATCTCTAACAATGAGAGAAATGCAAATTAAAACTAAACTGAGATTCCATCCCACTCCAGTCAAAATGGCAATTGTCAAGAATTCGAGTAACAATAAATGTTGCCAAGGATGTAGGGAAAAAGGTCCACTCATACAATTCTGGTGGGACTGCAAATTGGTGCAACCACTCTGGAAAGCAGTATGGAGATTCCACAGAAAACTTGGAATGGAACCTCCATTTGACTTGGTTATGCCACTCTTCAGTATATACCCAAAGAACTTAAAATCAGTGTGATGCAGCCACATCGATGTTTATTGCAGCTCTATTCACAATAGCTATGAAACCAACCTAGGTGTCCTTCAACAGAGGAATGAATTAAGAAAATGTGGCATCATATATATATATATATATATATACATATATATATATATATAATGTAATATTACTCAGCCATAAAAAAGAATACTTTTATGACTTTTGCCAGTAAATGGGTGAAACTAGAAACTCTCATGCTAAGTGAAATAAGCCAATCCCAAAAAATCAAAGGCCAAATATTCTCCCTGATAAGCAGATGCTAACACACAATAAACAGGAGAGGGAATAATAGAAGTTCATTGGATTAGATAAAGGGGAATGAAAGGATGGGAGAAGGGACGGGAATAGGAAAGATAGAATGAATGAGACATAACTTTCCTATGTTCATGTATGAATACACCACCAGAGGCTGGAGTTGTGGCTCAGTGGTAGAGCACTTGCTTAGCATGTGTGAGGCACTGGATTCAATTCTCAGCACCACATAAAAATAAAGGTATTGTGTCCACCTACAACTAAAAAAAAAAAAAAATTTTGTGAATACACCACCAGTGAAACTCTACATCACATACAACCAAAAGAATGGGATCCTAATTAGAAAAAGTTATATTCCATATATGTGTAATATATGTCAAAATGCACTTTACTCTCATGTAAATCTAAAAGGAACTAATTTAAAAGTTTTAAAGGATAGTAGTGTCTGTTTGTAGACATCCCTCCAGCTTTTTTCCAGAGGCTGTCATAAAGGTGGCTGCTACACATACTTTTCCCTAGGACCCAGATTCTTATGCAATGTCAGGCTTCACGCATTCCACTGCTTTCTCCAGGGTGTAGTCGAAGAACTAGAAAGACACGGGAACAGACATGAACCAGAAAAATCAGCATTTTATGTACATCACTAGGAAAAAAGGAAGATCGTTGAAGAAAAGACGTGAGGGGACAGGGAGCCCCTGTAACTAGCAGAGTACATCCTAGCCAGGTCCAAGGCCAGGGAAAATGACCCAGAGCCTTCATCAGCCAGGGTAGCTGACAAGCCAGGAGGGTCAAGCTGAGTGTCCACAAAGTTCTCCTCTGCCCTCCATATTGGTTTGCCTTAGATCCACCCTTGAGAATGGGCTCTGGAACCTGGATCCTAGTGTGGATACGCTAAACCCAAAGTTCTCTCCACACCTAGGAGCCCCAGGTCCCACGAACACAACTGGGCCAGGAGTTGTGCTGGCAAAGAGTAAAGTACTGTCCCTGGAGCTGGTGATCCTGGTGGAAAGATGTGCACAGCACCTGGAATCTTGACTGGCAGGGTGTGGGGTGGGGTGCAGAATGGGGTCTGGGTTCCTGTGATACCTACAGTCCTGTCTGTGTTGTGCTGCCACTCAGTGGTTGAGTTGAGGGAGAGTTTAAGCCCATAACTGGGGCTGAGCTTCCCAGGTTGCCCAAAAAGAAAGAGTTGTACAGTCAGTCACTGCCCACCAGCCTGTGAGCCGAGGAGTGGGCTCTTGGGCTACTAGGATGCTGGAGAGTAGAGCTGGGTCCCTGCACCAGCTGTACACACCAACATGTGGGTAAAGGGAGGGAGAGGCAATGCTGCCACAGGGTGGGAGGTTCAGTATGGGCTGACATCGCTCTGGGAGACAGGAGGGGACTGGAAGATGACAGCCTTGGACTCAGGGGTGGTATCCATAGCATCATTTATGGCAGGCGTGAAGGATGATGGTATAGAGGGAAAAGGCAAGTGCATGATGGATAACTGGGAATCTGATGAGCACGGGGGTGTTGAGGAACCACAGCAGGAAGACCTCAAGGGCCATAGGTGGAGAGAAATAAGGGGCAGGCAGAGTGCTGGTGCAGGCTGCTGCATTCTCTTGTTTTACCCTCCAAGGCCTCCGTGTCACCCTCCATGATACTGCTCTTCTTCAGAGCCAGAACCTCGCAGAGTGCCTAAATCTTCCTCCATAGAGCCAAGAGGACACTTAGAAGGTGTGGCAGCTCATCTCAATGCCACTGGTTGTGGCAGAGGCAGCTACAGGGCCATTGGCATGGGTGTCTTTCTGTTGGGGGGCCTCTGGCTAGCAGCGATGGGTGAGGATAGCTCCCTGACGGGTTGGTGGAAGATTTCCCCCTGCACCCGCTCTCCTGACTCCTGGGAGCCTGGAGAGCTGGGCAGAAAGTCTTCATCCAACCCTTTCTTTACCCACTGGAAGCAGGCGGCATCCTGGTGTTTGCGCAGGGAGCACTGCTGCCTCTGCACCAGGCTGCACCAAGGTCAGCACACCTGCAACAGTGCTGAGCCACCTGGGGCAGCACGGCTGGCAGAGGAGATAGTCACTAGAGACACCTGTTCCCACTCTTGCTTGGTGTGTCCCTCCTGAGGCCAAGGAGCTGCTCCAGGGGGTGAGTTCTTCCTGTGTCTCCAGAGGCTTGGGGGGGTGCTACTTCCCCATTGGTAGGGGCTCCCGTTTCCAATTGTCCTGCATTTCTCTCTGCTTCCCTCCTCCTCCTTTTCCTCTTGCTCCTCTTCCTCCTCCTTCTCCTCCACATCCCCCTCCTGGGCCACACCAGCAGCTGCCACTGCTGCTGCAACAAGTTCCAGGGGCTGCTCTTGGGCCCTCTCCTCTGATTTTCCAAGGAAAAGGGAAGTGTGTGACCAGGTGTCCCGGGCATCCCAGTGTGGTTGACTTGCTTAGGTGGTAAAGCATTAGATCAGTCTGGGCCTGGGAGGAGGATTCCTTAGGTTCTGGAAGGTTGAAACATCCCCGAGTTGCTAGTGGACAGCACAGGCTTTTTCCTGGGACCTCCCTGGGGCCAGCGAGAAGATCCCCAGGGAGGAGTGCGCCTCCCTTAGGAGAGGGCCTATGTACCAGCTCTTCTTGGCGGAAGAGTCTTCAGACAGGGCTGATGGCAGATGCTGGGACAGCAGGGTGATCCCGCCCAGGATCTGGGGCCTGGCAGGTCAGGCCAATGGACAGGCGATTGTCCCACAGGGCCGGTTGGTCCGTGACCGCGCTTGCTCAGGAGACTGCCCATTCGGAGCACAAGATGCAGGTCCAATCCGGAGAAGAGAGAAGAGACCAAGGCAGCTGGGCTTGGACACCGCCATCTTCCGTTGCCCAACCGTGCACTGTTGAGTCGGGTTCTTGGGATGTACAGCTGGAACAGGTGACAGGGAAAGGGCGTGCCAGGAGCTCGCGGACAATAACTGTAAGTCACGAGAAGGCGCCACAGGGCAAAGGGCGGGGCCCACCATCTGCTTCTGGGCTGCACTTTGTAGCTCCAGGGGAATCGCTTTCCTCTAAGGTCTGTGGCAACGCAGGGACCACTATGTTCAGACTCTTGGGACTGCAGCCAGATCCCGTATTACTCCTGGGTTCCAAGGCTCCATAGTGCCTGGCCCAGAGCACTAGCTTTGGCACCCACTCCGTGTATGTAGCCAGCCCTCTCTTAAGGGCCATTAAGGGGGACAGGGTGGGGTAGGTGGGATGCTGGAATGTTGAAGACCAGTGCAGGTAGTGCTGAAAGTCCAGCCCCAGGGCAACTCAGATTCTGCTACACCCCTCCAGAGACATAGCCAGTTGCTGGCTTCTACCTTGCTCCTCAAGGCATGTTCTCTAAAGGTCAGTGCCTTATCTGCTGTGCCTGGGCTTCTGAGGTGCAGGAGCAGTGACTTGAACTGCCACCTGCCCTATCCCTTCCCACTAATCAGAGTCTCTTCACATCTTTGAAGGCATCCAGTAAGAGCACAGTGAAGCCCCACCCTCTTCCTGAGGTCAGGCACCTGGTAGTGGCCCAGCCAGGCCTTGAATCCAACATCTTGCTCTGTGGTGCCTCCATAGATGATATATTTAACATGTAATACCCTTTTCTTTTCTGTAGTCTTTGAGTCTCCAGTACCAAGTCCGGTGAACAAGGAGCACAGGCCTCCCTCCCAAGGAGGAGGACAACTCATGAGCTAACCAAGACCCACAGGAGGCTCCAGTCTCAGAAGATGTTGGGTGCCAGTTGTCAAAAGAACATCTTCTCTCCACCCCTCTTCCAGTTGAGCCCTGTAGCCCAGATTTCTTCCTGGCTGAGTTGGAAGGATCCAAATATGGAAAGGTAGTATTCTAGATCCATTTGGGTTCACGCTGAAGGAAACTCAGCCATGTTTATTTAGCATACACATAAGAAGCCAGTTGGTATGGCCTCCCTAGAATAAGTTTAGGAAGCAAACATGTCATTGATTCTCAAGCTGATAGGGGGGCAATGTGTTGGATTCAAGTGAGATCCACAAAACGTGTTCTTTTGAGCATGCCTGCTGGGCCCTCTCTTCACGGTAGATTACTGAATCCATAATAACAGTTTTGGTATCCAAGAGAGGAGACATCCTCTTGGGGTGTCAGAACAAGGGAAACAGATAATTGTCTTAGGATCTGGGAGCTTCAACTTGATGAGAAAGATTTGGAAAACACTTGACTTGATGGAGACTGATCTTGTTTCTCTGGCTTCCTTCATCACAGGGTTTTTCTCTCTTGTGTTAGTGACTTGTATTATGCACATTACATGCAGAACTTTCAGAACCAGGAATCACAGAGATCAGTAAAAATATTTCTCACGTATGTTTCAGTTTTAAGCTCTTTTAACAGTGATACTGCGTACTGTATTCATAGCAAAATTTGCAGCTTCTGCTCATAAGATCCCTTGGGTACTGTGTCAGAGAAAGTTTAGACTTGGTCCCCTATCAACTTTAAAACTGGGAGGACGCAAGAGGTTTTGCTCAGACCCAAACTCTGTTAGAAGAAGCTCATCATAAGCTCTTTGTAACCTCTCCAGGAGCAAAGATGATCTACATTTATGACCTATAAACCACAGTTCCTTGATATCATTCAAAAAGCTTTTTAGAAAAGAAACCAGGTTTTGTTTGTTTCTCTGAATATACATAATTGTATGAATTGAAGTCAAACATTTCCTAAAGGATTATGTAAAATATCATGTTATAGTTCTTTGAAAACAATACATTACCATAGTGTCATTCCCATTATTACAATTACTACTGCTGCTTCTATCACCACTATCATTATTATTATTATTTTACCAAAAAATAAGCTGATTGATTATCCCATGAATGTTGGTGCTTCAGGACACTATATGTCTATCTAAAAAGAACAAATAAAAATATTAATTAAAAAAAGAAAAATATGCTATATATAAAAAAGGAATGAACAACTGGATATTTTCATGCATCTTCTTTTCATGTGAAATTCATTGCACTGTTAAAGTTGAGTGATAAATGAAATGATAAAAAAATAGGATTCACTGAAGAAAGAAATTGAAGTGGACATTAAAAGATGGAAAGACCTCCTTTGTTCTTGAATAGGCAGATTTGTCAAAACTGTCGTCAAAATGCCCACATTGCCAAAAGTGATCTATGAGATTCAATGCAATCCCCCATCAAAATACTAATAACATTCTTCATAGAAGTATAAAAACAGTCCTAAAATTTATATAAAAGAATAAAGGACCCCAACTAGACAAAGCTGAAGAGTAAGAACAAGGCTGGGGGTATTATAATACCCAACCTCAGATTATACAACAATGCTATAGTAATAAAAACAGCACAATATTGGATAAAAACATACATGAAGAGCATAAAGACAAACTCACACGGATACAATTACCTGATCCTTGACAAAGGTACCAAAAACATACATTGAAGAAGAAACACAGTTTCTTGATATCATTCAAAAAGCTTTTTAGAAAAAGTCTTTTTAACAAATGGTGCTGGGAAAACAGGATAGCCATATGCAGAAGAAGGAAACTAGTTCCCTAAACAAAAGTCAACTCAGAATGGATTAAAGAGCCAAGAGTTAGACCAGAAAAACTTCAACTTATAGAAGAAATACAGGGTCAACACTACAACATATAAGTGCAGGCAGTGACTTCCTTAATAAACTAAAGTTCAATAAATAAAACCAAGAATCAATAGTGGAATGGCTTCTTAGTAAAACGTTTCTCCAAAAAAAAAAAAAAATGAGAACATGAAAAGAGAACCTTCCACGATGAGAGAAAATCTTCTCAGCTACTCTTCAAAAAGAGGATGAATATGTAGAATACATTAAGAACTCAAAAAACTGACTACAAAAGAACAAATAACCCAATAAATGAACAGGCCAATGAATTAAACACACTTCTCAAAAGAAGAAATGCAAGTACCCACAAACATGAAAAATTACCCACCATCCTTAGCAATCAGGGCAATGCAAATCAAAACTACACTGAGATTGCTTCTTACCCTGGCTAGAATGGCAAGATCAAGAATATGAATAATAATAAGTGCTGGCAAGTACTTGAAGAGAAAGAAACACATCTATTGTTGGTGGACCTTCAATTCAGCACAACTACTTTGGAAAACTGAATGGAGATTCCTCCAAAGGTTAGGAATGAAACTACTATGTTACTCAGTTCTGAAAGGGCTAAAGTCAGCATACTATAATGATACTCAGAATCCAGCATGCTTAGAGCATCCCAGGTCGTAATCACCATCATCACCAAATGAATGGATAAAGAAAATGGTATATAGACTCAATGGAATTCTAAACAGCCATAAAGAAGAATGAAATTATGTCATTTTCTGGTAAATGGATGGAACTGGAGAACATCATACTAAATGAAATAAGCCAGACCAATGAAGTCTAATATCAAATGTTCTCTCTCATATGCAGAAACTAGAGAGATCTGAGATCAGCCTGGGCAACATAATAAGACCCTTTCTCAAAAACAAACTAAACAAAAAAATTAGAAGAAAGAATTTTTAAATATTTTCCCCACACAGAATTGATAAATGAGGACACGGTATGTTTACTCTTGTTTGAACATTATATACTGGTGTCGCAAAACATCAAATGGTAGGTATCCCATAAATATGTAAAAGTTGTATGTGTCAATTACAAATAATTTTTAAAATCACTATTTCTTACTTCCTGAGTAATGATTTTAAAATTTGTATTTGGGATTATTTAAATAACACTGATTTCTAATAAATTTACAGGCTCATCACAGGCCAGCAATATCCATTGATCTACCACTTTTCAAGTGTGTAAGTAAGTACGATATTCACCTGCTTTGGTTTTTAGGTTCCTCTACCTATAAAAAATAATGTTTATAATTTTGTGCAATATTGTTGTAGCAAATAAATACAAGTGATAGATCTATTCATAAAATGTGAAATAATCTTGTCCAATTCCAAACATGCCTAACGGCTTCATACATAATTGGGATGGCAAGTGAGGCTTCTTGTCTCTACACAATTCAGGTGTCTTTTTTTTTTTTTTTTTAGCTTTGTGTTTGTTCTTGCTGTATGAGGACCAGTGGGTTCTTGGCACAAGCCAACAGCATTAGGAATGTGGAATGAAGACATTCTAGGAATGCTATACATTCTAGTCTGATTATTCTTGAGCTATTTGGGTTGCCTTTCCCTCTTGTAATCTGTGAGACCTCACAATATCAATTTTCATCATTTCTCCCAGATCTTCATCCTGTCTCTATGGTCACACAGCACAGAAGGTTCTTGTTGGGGGTGCACCCCCTAAAAATCAAAGGGAGATCAGTAGAGGAAAGAAAACCAAGGAGTGGGAAGCAGGGAGGGAGGAGAGAAGTGCTGGGAGTGATACTGGCTAAATTATATTGTTATATTGTGGACCTGTATGACTATAAAAGAACAAATCCCAACATTACGTACAATTATAATGCACCAAAAATAATGTGAAAAAAAGAAGGTTGTTGATAGGTTAAGGTCCCTCCAGTCCTTAACGGTACCCTAAAATTCACTCCATCTATCATATTTCTCCTTACTGAATCCACAAATTTTTAAAAATTTGAATATTCACATAGCAATTTATATACCAAACTCAGTGGTTTGTGGCATGGATGCAAAAAAGAATTTTATCTTTTTGTTTTGTTTTCCCCCAAAAGTTTCAAGTATGTTCTATCAAAAATTCAATAAATTTAAAACTGGAAAAAAATATCATTGTCTGTGTGGCTCAAAAGTATGCAAGTACAACTGCTCTCTTTGAGCTCCCCTCGTCCCACTATAGAACCCTTGCTCCTGCACCTAGCTAAGACTGATTAATCTGCTGAAATCCTCCTCAAGTAGATCTTGAGCATCCTCTCAGTCTCCACACTCCCCAGACAGGGTCTCACTAAGCTGCTGAGGCTGGCCTGAAACTTGCAATCCTCCTGCTTCAACCTCCCAAGTTATTAGAATTAAAAGCATGCACCATGGCACCCAGTGAATCTCCTCTCTTTCTTAATGCTATTATCTGTGTTTGTCATATCTTAAATCTATTGCAGTCATTAACTTGATTATTTAAGTTTTCTTATACCAAACATTTTTGTCTAGGGGAGAAAAATACAAATGTTTTCAATCCTCCTGTTCAAGACAGCTTTAATAGAGCTTATACCTAATCAGTGTAAATGTTAGGAAGTTGACTGTTTCTGCATCAATATGTAACCCACTAAGTAACAGAGAGTTCTGGGGAAACTTAACAGCAGCTCAGATCATTGAACAGCTTTGGGGTGCACGAGAAGATTCAGGACAACAGAAGAAACTTGTCTATCTGCTGGCAACAGATGCCATTTTAGGAGAAAGAACAGTCTCTACTCATCTAGGGATTCACTGCCAAGAACTCAGCTACCACATGTCTTCTTTCATTCCTTAGTGTGAGCACCAAGCAGGCAGACCTAAGCAAGGGGAAAGAAGCCCTGAGATCCAGCCATGTTCACAACACCCAAATAAACCAGTCATGAATCTCAAACCTTTTCCTGAGAGTGACACTTTGCTCACTCAACCAACATGCACATGGGGAGTGCTCTAAGAAATACCAAGGGAGCCCTCTTCCCTTCCAAAGATAAAATTTGAAAGGCTTTGCCTACTACTGCTCATAAAGGAAATATTCATATCCCCATTTTGTATATAAATAAATCAAAACTGTGCTTCATATGTTAATTATCCTTAGTGTTCAAAAGTATTCAGTACTTCCCTCTGACCCCAAATCCTAGCTGACACATATCACACGGACACTTGTTTCCAAATCCAACAAGTCATTCTCAATTTTTTTTTTTCAGATTTAGTCCTCCTTGTTTTGGTGCGCTAGTATTTTGTTCTCCTTCATCTGTCCTAGAATCCTAGAGTTTCACAAACTCCCTACACCATGTTGCTTCCTAATCCTCTAAGGACAACTGACCTCCGTCATTTCAGCCCCTCCACATTAGAGATTCAGAAATGATGGTTTCTCAATTCTGACCACTACCCACTTCCCTTCCTTGACATTATTGGAATTTCTTCCCAGGCAAGTATGGAACTAATTTAATGGTTAGGTGTAGCATGATGGAGAATTCAAAGACATCCTTGAAACAAGTTTATCACAAAAATACCTTGCATAGGAAATTTGCAGGTGTACCCACGTCATAATGCTAGTGTTGTGTCACATTATCCCTGAATGGCAGCAAAGATCATAAAATAGAGAGTGAAGGTGTCTGAGGAAATTTATTGGCTCTACCTAATATTCTAGTGAAATAGTACATAAAATCCTGTCTTAATTATCATTATGAAACAGCAATAGGCTGCATTTTATATTCCTGAATGTGATACATTTGTAAACTAAAGTTCTGTGTAACGCGCTGTTAATAATTAAATATGCTGCATGAAAAATAATAATTATATGTCATAGTATGGAATAATATTAAAACTTTAGTTCTAAGGTAGCTGAAATGAAAAAAAACATAAAGATCATATCAATTAATATATGCATGAGGTTGTGCATATATTTGCTTATTATTCCTCCAAGTAAATCTAATATGTTAAGATTGATTACCTAATTCCAAGTGAGGAGAATTGCAGTTCACATAGCTTTTAGAAATATAGCAAAACTTCATGGCTAAAATGTGATATGTATATATTAGGGCCTACTTTTTCTTCTATTAGACACAGAATATCTGGTTTAATTCCTAGGTCCTTGATCCATTTTGAGTTAAGTTTTGTGCATGATGAGAGATAGGGAAAACAAAAGACCAGGATTGAATATTGAGCTATTCCAGAACTATTAATTGAAGAGGGCTTTGTAAGACACTGGAAGGAGTGGATAGATTAATTTAAAGACAGGAATCTCATACATCAAAGAAGCTTTGAAAAAGTAATGACTCCAAAAGGAGAGCATGTTTTATTTTTTTTCTTTTGCTTCAAGTAAAATAAAGATAGAAACACTTAATGGATTTATTTATGGGGATGTAATGGATTTACTGTGTATACATATGGATATAGACATACTTGTGGGGAAATCACTGGTGATCCCTTGTAAGTCAAAACTTGAGGAGGATGTAAAGAAATGGTGGCTGTTCTTTCAGTTTCATTATAAGGGAGAGAAAGAGATCCGACTGGGGCTTTTAAAATTAAGCACAGAGGGGGCTGGAGATATGGCTCAAGCAGTAGCGCATTCCCCTGGCTTGCATGCGGCGCTGGGTTCCATCCTCAGCACCACATACAAATAAAGATGTTGTGTCTGCCGAAAACTAAAAAATAAATATTAAAATTCTCTCTCTCTCTCTCTCTCTCTCTCTCAAAAAAAAAAAATTAAGTGCAGAGGAGTCTCCTTCCAAGATGAAAGAGTTTAGGAGATGAGAGAATGCTTGCAGAAGTGATGGAGAATTAATGTCATGGAGAGATAATTTGTAATCAATGTTGCAAAGTCCCGTGAAAAAGAAAAAGGGATACATCTTGTAATACAAATAAACAACAAGAAGATATCTAGGGGTGAATCTGACTAGACCAAGATGGATATCCTAGTCATATGTTCTGTCAGAGGTACCAAATGGGGTAGGCAGACTTTTGGAGCCAGTAAGTATGACTTTTATTTATTTATTCAGTTCATAATAGTTATATATAACATTGGGAATTTTGATATAGTTATAAATGAAGTATAGTTTGGTACAATTAAGGAGATTACCCTTAACCTCCCCCTTCTCCCTCTTGCTATTCCCTTTCTTCTACTTCACTAAATCTATTTAATCTTTTTTTAAATATTAGCATCTTGTGGATATACATAATGATGAGATTCATTGCAGTATATTCATATATGTACATTGGAAAGTTAGATCAGATTCATTCAACTCTTTTTCCCTTATTTTGTCCATCCTCTCTCTCCTTCAATCTCCTTCTTCTATTTCTAAACAGACACTTCTCAAAAGAAGAAATACAAATATTCAACTAACATATAAAAAAATGTTCAACATCTCTAGCAATTAGAGAAATGCAAATCAAAACCCTATTGTCAGAAAGGCAATTATCAAGAATACAAACAATAATAAATATTGGTGAGAATGTGGGGGAAAATGTACACTTATACATTGTTAGTAGGAGTGCAAATTATGCAATCACTCTGGAAAGCAGTACGAAGACTCCTCAAAAAACTAGGAATGGAACCACCATATGACCCAGCTATCCCACTACTCAGTATGTATCCAAAAGATCTAAAATCAGCATATTTTAGGGAGACAGCCACATCAATTTATAGCAGCACAATTCACAATATCCTTACTATTGAGCCAACTAAGGTGCCCTTCAACAGATGAATCGATAAAGAAAATATGGTATATATACACAGCTGAGTATATATACCACATAAATACTCATGGACTCAGCCGTGAAAATGAATGAAATTATGTCATTTGCTAGTAAATGGATGGAACTGGAGACTATCATGCTAAGTGAAATAAGTCAGACTCAGAGAGTCAAAGGTCGAATGTTTTCTCTGATATGCAGAAGCTAGTCTAAAATTGGTAAGAGAGAGAGAGAGAGAAGAAATGGGAGGATTCCATCAAAATAAAATAAAAATCAGGAGAATATTTTCATAGGTGCTTTCAAGCAGAGAGCTCCTAAGCTTCCTCACTGAGAATTTTAAAGTTCTTTATGCTCAGGAACTAAGACTGAATTGTTCTCTGGGTAGCTAAATCTACATATGTACATTCCTCTCCTTTGTCTCACTGTGCCTTTTCTCTTATATTTAAAAAAAAAAAAAAAAAAAAAAAAAGCTCTCCAGATTCCTGGGTCCCCAGGGATGGATATTTGAAATGAACATCTCTATCTTCCTCAATATTTTCCTCACCAACCTGTCCCCACAATTTTGGTGAAACATGACAAGTGGTAAATTGTATCCTGTTACCTCCCATGATTTCAGGCTTTTTTTTTTTTTTTTTTTTGAACCCAGGGCTTTATGCATGCAAAACCAGCACTCTATTGACTATATCTCCAGCCCCATGATTTCCGTTTTAATGAATAATTTCAGGAGCAAATATTTTGTCCTTAAGCAACATGACCCAAACTGGCAACAATCTCTAATGTGAAGGGGGCTCAACCGCTCATGGATAGCCAAGTCTGCCATTTAAATTTTTAGGAAAATCCCAGACGGTACCCAGAGACATTTTAAATCCTGGGATTTTTCTCTTTCTTTCTACTATAAACTTCACTACCTACAAATGCTTTGATGATAAGGGAAGAAAAAATTATTTGTATGGGAATCCATGGGTCCCACTAGGTCATCATATCAGGGTTCACAATGCAAATTTTATCTCTGGTGTTTGAGGCAAAAATACTCTTTTCATGGACCTGGAGTGGGTCATTTTGTGATACCAGATGGTATGAGGTTAGAAATTTTCTGCCATTTGGGGCTTGAATAATCCATTCAGTCCTTGGCTACTGATGATATGAGACAAAATTTAGAGGGCAAAATTTTTCATCAATTATTTTGATTTGTTTGGAGAGCTCATATGGGTTTGGTTTTGGTTTGGGGGAAAAAATGGCAGCATGATCTTCATATCTAAAAGTGATTTTAATTTAAAGCAACTATTTTATATGACAATTGACTTAATAAGCTAAACTTGGATGGCTACAGCAACACATTTATTTGCATAACATAGGAAATTCTATTTTCCTGAGGAGTATTCATTTTTCATTCATCAAATGGGGCAGTACTAAGGATTAAACCAACCGTGCTTTACCACTGAGCTACACCTCCAGCCATTTTTGGTTTTTATTTCAGACAGGGTCTCACTAAATTGCTGAGGCTAGCTTCAAACTTGCAATCCTCCTGTGTCAGTTGGGATTAAAGGAAGGCATACCATACCAGGTTGTGTTAATTCAGCATGCTTAAATTATGTATTTTTATTTTGATTAAAAATATTTTATCTTTCTCTGTTAAAAAAAATGATTAATCTAGGTTTGTTTGCTTGTCTCTGGCTTTAAGATGTAAATTTTCTACTTAGCCTCAATTGTAAATGCAAATTTAAGATTACAGACTGGTTAAGGCTATATAATATATATATATATAATAGTCTGGCTTTTAAAACTGGCAAATGATAAATCTAAACTTTGGGATTTTCTTATGTGCACTCTGATTATATGCCTATAAATTCTTTGCATAGTAACACGGTAACATATTGTATAGATAAGTAAGCACATAATCTCTGAAATTATCCCAAATGACTTTTGATTTACATGACTTTAGTAAAATTTGTGAAAATAAGTTAATTTGAACTTTTTTGTAATAGCGATGTTGTGAGGATGGCCTTAGGCCTGAGCCTAAGCAACTCTGTTTTTAAAAACTCCCGTTTGAAACCTGCAGTCTCACCAGGCACGCCATTCTTCATTCCAGGACTGAAACAAGTCAAAGTAAATATAAGATGATTTTAAATGCTAATAACCTATGTTATTATTTCTGTTGCTTATTTTTGGAATGGCGTCATAGTATAATGAGCTAAGAATTGGGGGGGTATTGTTGTTGTAAATTGATCATACATCCTAGCAGTAGTTTTGGAAATTAACTAATAGTCCATCTATTCCTTCATTCAGCAACCTAAATGTTATGTGCATTTCCAGATTTTTCATTTTCACATTCTTCAAACTGGGTCCAAGAGGAATTTTTTCATTTGTTCTTTTTAGTTATATGTAATAGTAAAGTCTATTTTGACATATTTGATGTTTAAGTAGTTTTTAGACATTAGCTTTTAAAGCTAGTTTGCCTCATTAAGTCTATTTTCACAGCTCCTTGTTATAAAGCGTTCATGCTGATATATAGACCCTAAATTTTTCATTTTTAAAAATAAAATTGATGTTAATTAGCCTTCAGGCTCTTTTCAATTGTCTGTAGTCAGACATCAGTCCCTTTGCCAACCTAGAGTTAAAGATGAGGTCATATGTTATTCTAAACAGCAAGATGTTTCGCTGCCTTTTAAAAATGTCCTTCAAAGCTGTTAAATGGATCTTGTGCTGTTAAAAGTCTAGGTGGCTTCATCTAAATGTTGTAGAACAGTTTTCATTTAAAAAAGAATTACTTATTTTGGCAGTAAATGGAGATCTATTTAATATATCAGCGTGCCTGTTTTTTTCTTTCAGGATTAGTATTATTTCTAATATCTTTATTTTCTCCATTTCTAACCACCTTAAAACATAGAATAATAAACTTTTGTATGTTTTCATTAGTGTTTAAATGCTAGAATAATTTCGAATACTTTTTAAAATTTTTATTAGTGCTTTATTGTTATATACAACACTGGGATTTATTTTGACATAATCATACATGCATGGAATATGATTTGCTCCATTCAGTCCCCAGTACATCCTCTTTTCCTCCCCTCCCCCTCCACCTGTTCCCCTTCCACTACTGGCCTTCCTTCTATTTATTTATTGCTTTTTTAATTGGCACTTTATGGATATACGTAAAGATGAAATTCACTGTGGTATATTCATACATGCACATGGCATAACGGGGTCAATTTCATTCTGCAGTTCCTCCCTTTTCACCTCCCTCCTCCCTTCCCATTTATCCCCTTCTTCTACTTCACTGATTTCCCATATATTTTCATGAAATGCTCCATTTTCTCCTTATCTTGCTTTACTTTACACATGTGTGAGAAAGCATTCAACACTTGATTTTCTGAGTCTGGTTTGTTTCACTTAGCATGATATTCTCCAGTTTCATCCACTTACTGGCTAATCCCGTACTTTCATTCTTCTCTATGACTGATAAAAACTCCATTGTGGATACACACCACATTTTCTTTATCCATTGATCTAGTCACAGGCATCTGTGCTGGTTCCATAACTTGACTATTTGAATTGTGCTGCTATAAATATTGGTCTGGCTGTATCACTACAATATGATGATTTTAGTTCTTTGGGATAAATGCCAAGGAGTGGGATAGCTGGTTCACATGGTGGTTCCCTTCCTCTTGTAATGAATCTCCATGCTATTTATACTGCTTTCTAAATGGTTGTACTAATTGGCAGCTCTACCAACAATGTATGAATGTACCTTTTCCCCCACATCCTCACCAGCATTTATTATTATTGGAATTCTTGATGATTGCCATTCTAACTGGAGTGAGATAAAATCTCAGAGTAGTTTTGATTTGCATTTCCCTTTTTGCTAGGGATGTTGAATATTTTTTCATGTATTTGTTGGCCATTTGTGGGGTTTTTTTTTTGAGAAATATCTGTTTAGTTCTTTTGCCCATTTATTGACTGGGTTATTTGGCATTTTTTAGCATTAAGCTTTTTGAGTTCTTTATATTTTCTGAATATCAACCCCTGTCACAAGAGTAGCTGGCAAATATTTTCTCCCATTCTGTAGACTTTCTCTTCACGCTCTTGATTGCTTCAATCCATGTGCATAAGTTTACTGAGTAATGCTCTTTTTACTCTGTATTGATTTGACTGTTCTGGGTCATTTATTTCTCCAAATGAGTATTAAGACTGTTCTGGTTCTGGGAAGAATGT